AGGCGGCCGCTGGCGAGACAGCGCTGCTAGCATGAATGCTGTGGTAGCAGGTGAAAGAACCCTAGAGTTCATGGGTCAAGGCCACGCAGTGAAGGGGTTGTCTGGCTCGTGTGTGTGTGTGTGTGTGTGTGTGTGTGTGTGTGTGTGTGTGTGTGTGTGTGTGTGTGTGTGTGTGTGTAGGGCCACTTTGTGTGTTGTAGGATGCTAATGAAGTTGCCAGGCTATTTGATAAGCACGGCTGTCTATTGTTAGCTCAGTCTGGTTTGCTCAGAGAGGCCTTGCTGGGTGTAGACTTGGACAAGAGCTCCTTCATCATGCTGCAGTCACAGCAGAGTATCAGACAGGCAGATAGACAGGCAGGCAGGGTGAAGTCAGACCTCCCGTGCTGAAAGTGTGATTGTGTTGTCTGGAAGCCTTTTTCTCCCCACATCTCTGCTTTCTGTGACATTTCTTCTCTGAGTGACACAGTTGGTTTCAGGCTCTCCAGCGTGGTGCCTGTCTTTGTTTCTCTCCAGATTGATGGAAGCTTTGTATCGGGAAGTCATAGAGAGCGCTGTGTTTTACGGCACATATTCTAATGCCGAAGTACAACTGTAGCCGCTGTGATTCCTGTGAAATCTAACTTGAAAAACGTTAATGTCTTTGTGGAAATCGCTTTTCTTTTCTCAAGGATTAATCTGGTGAAATCTTATATTTCACTCATATCAATGAATCCCATAAAAGACCATCACCAACAATTCAAGTGTTTTAAAAACAGGCACCAAAGTATTTTTCCTACACTGTTTGAAAGACAAATATAAATGTTAATATAACACCCGTTTTTCACAATGTGCATGGGCTAAATGTTTATTTTGAGTCAATTCATAAATCGTCCTTTTGGTATAAGAACCAATGGGATGGTAGAAAATGAAACAATTAATATGTTAACTATTTTTCGAAGATTTTAATCTTTAGAATGAACTAATGCAATTGAGGCTGAATGCCACAAAGCAAAGCAGAAAACAAGTAATGCATCATTTAAATGGATCGAGACAAACTTACAATAATTACAGCCTCATATTTTGAACAGTATTTAAACAGTTGCATTTTTGCCAGGGGGAAGGCAGCTGTGTCTTTTATTCCTGTCATAAGATCATATCCAGTGTCTTGAACAGGAATCGTGCGTGCAAACAATTTATTTTGGACATCTCCTGCAGGTGCAAAGAGCCGCATGCGTAAAGGTGCATCACTTATGGTGTCCCTTTAAGAGGGAAAGCATTACCTCATCAGGAGCGGTGTAAAGGAAGGAAGTGGGTGAATGGGTGAAGGAGCGCAGTGCTAACTCTCTCCACTCCTTTATGCCTGTGGGTGCAGGCTTCATTAGCTCTACAGAAAGGGACAGCTCCCTCCCATCCCCTCAATAGACCCATAGACCTGTCTCACTGGCACAGGCTCGGCTCAGTGGGGTGTGTGTGTGTGTGTGTGTGTGTGTGTGTGTGTGTGTGTGTGTGTGTGTGTGTGTGTGTGTGTGTGTGTGAGAACCATTCACACAGTAGGCCTCATAGTTTCTCACTCATGCCTAAAGGAAGCCTTGCATTGACACTTTTTTAGGTCTCACATCTCTCTCCCACTCTCTTTGTCCCTCGCTCTCTTTTCACTATTCTCCATTTCACAATTTTTCCTCATTGTGTTTCCTCTCTCAGTCGCTTCATCGTTTTGAGTCTCAGATCTCTCACACCACTAGACGTTCAGTCAAGGACCGTATGCTGTACAGAGCTCTGACTGCTGTACTCTGCAGCACGTCGTTTCTTTTGACTCATTTTCATGGTCGCTCTTGACTTACGTAACTTAACATAAATCTTTCCTGTATAATTACAATTAGAAAACCTAAATGTGGGATTTAAAGGCTTGACAACTCAATGCCTATGTGTTAGAATAACTCCCACCTTCAAATTGAGTTAGCGTTATTTAAGCTGCCCTTTTTTCAGAATAAACAAATAACTGTAACAGCTTTATCAATTATTACTTGACAGGACTTTGACAGTAAACTCCAAAATCTCACAACATGCAGTGGTTTAAAGGCAGAATTGTTTTGATAACTGAGGATAATTTATACATGCTCTTTCTTCCAGTAGCTCCTCTCATCAATAGTATTTCACATCAATCTCTATTTTATATGAAGGGGCTCTTTATCCAAAGTGAGATTGTTTCAAAAATAAGTGATTTTCTTTTAACCATCAACATCTGATTAAACCAAACCCATTTACCTGGTAAGGTAGTTCTCATACGCCATGTCATGTATTTGTTAAGGATCTGCCATTTAAATGTGATGGACAGAACAAATTCGTTTTAGCTTTTAATTTAAAACCAGTTCTGATGGTCTGACAGTATAAAAGCAGTCAGTATACGCTAAAGTATATAAAACACAGAGATGCCATACAGAAGACCTGCTCTGTTTCCCCATCAGGCACTGTGCGCGGGCAGCTGCCTACTCGGGGTCCTCGTCTAGTGAGGGGGGAGGAGACACAAATATAGGCAAACGTGCAGGAAGGTGGCTAGCAGAGATGATTAGCATGGGCAGCCGCCATCGCGTGCTCTGCCCATTGTTGCAGCGCTGCATTAATGAGCCCACGGTGCATCCGACAATCTGTCCATCACACACACACACACACACACACACACACACACATGTACGTACACACTCACATGTACATACACACTCACATATGCTTCCACTGTCTGCACATACAAAGGTAGAAGAAATAAAGCACAAGTGAGCCTTTTATTCATGTCACTCACCAGGCAGTACAGTCATTTTTTAATAATCAAGTGAGGATACCCATCATATCTGTGGGTGATTAGTTATTCTTTTAATTATTCATTTCCAGTCGAGTCCGGGTCATATCTCTGAGGGTTTAAAACTCGGGTGAAAGTAGAGAGAGTAAAAGTTTTCTTATACCCGGAGAGAAATGCAAGCTCAGAAATAGAAACCTTGATAGTGAAAAGGAGAGAGAGGCTGACAGAGCAGGAGGAATGAGAGTACAACACTGTGGCCTGGTTTGCGGTTCCAGAGGGATAGAGACACTTTCCCCTGCCAAACGAGATAGGATGAGCTCTTTTAACACACACACACACACACACACACACACACACACACACACACACACACACACACACACACACACACACACACACACACACGCATATACATACGCGCAGACCTTGTTCCCTCCATCTAAGTGAGCCAGGACTAGATTCATGCGGCTTTGTTGTCGAGGCAGCAGGAAAACGTATTGCCCCAGATTTAAGCAAAAACCTGCTTCACACATGCAGCCGTTACCACACTTTAACTGAATTCAACTCAAATGTTAACGATAAGTTCATCCTTTTTTCCTTTTCTGCATCACTTCATATCGCAAACATCCAGTAAGTTGCGTGTGTGTGTATACGTGTAACAGACAGCCGGACCTCTGACCTCGTCCTGCTGGGAAGCTTTCATTCCCATAGGCTGGGGGCTGTGGTTGTCTCTGCACGCATGCACACACACACACACACACACACACACACACACACACACACACACACACACACACACACCACACACACCACACACACACAGCACACACACGCACGCACACCCACACACACACACGCACACACAGCACTGTTGGCTCTATTGGTATAGCTGTCGCTCGGCCACCATTCAGGGCTTTGCAGTCCGGCGGCCACTTAGAGCGCAGCAGACTCAGGATTCAGACGAGCTGTGATCCAATGACATGTATTTATAAATGAGGGGGTCTGCGGGACGTCTTTGTTGGACACACAGATGTCAGCATAAGAGTGCTGGGGTGTGGTGTGTGTGGTGTTGTGTTTTTGTTGTGTGTGTGTGTGTGCGTGTGTGTGTGTGTGCTGTGTGTGTGTGTGTGCTGTGTGTGTGTGTGTGCAGGGGGGGGCTAACCGGACTTTAACACCCCCTCAAACTCTCCCACATTGAAACAAATTCAAGCTTTTTTCTGCGTCTCTTTACACCCTCTTACTTCTCCAAGTCTTTCACACACTTTCTCTGTCTTGCCTTCTGATTCCGTGGAAAAAAAAGATTTGCTCGTTACCAATGATGAATATCATCCGAACACTGGACCTTGTCAAGTGGAAGAGAGGAAGAATTGGTGGAAAGTCTGTTCTCTTTTACGAAAAAGCAGTTAAGGCAGGAGTGTTGGGGACAAGTTAAAGACCCGGTCAAAACAGTTTTTTCTTTAGTTTTTTATTAGTCACTACTGATAAATAGAAAGCGTATGTTGCTCGTGTGTGATTCTGATCTCTTATTGCTGACTACTAGGGATGGACACAGTATTTGGAATATTGTCCTGTCAAACCATCAATGTTTTATAATGAACTTTTAAAGCCTCACCCCTAAACCCAGCCAAGGACATTTTATATACAAATTAAGGAACAAGTCTAAAAATGCACAACAGTCCATTATCACAATCTATTCACCGATATGTATTCATCTATTTCCTCCCCGTATCATGCGGTCACGCTACATTGAGCACGTATACTAAGTATGCAACACTACAGTGTACATCACTGTATGCAGAAGTTTATTTTAGCAACACTTAATGTACGCTTCATACAGCTCAAATGTTAGCGCCACTTTATGTGACGCGCATTAAGCCGCACAGAGAGATCCTGTATTGAGTTACCGAGTTGATAACCAGTGTCGTAGGACCGCTTAGCGAGAGCGCGTTTGTTTTGGGTTAGGTAAGCCGGGTAACTCAAACATATCTAGGGTCTGTTGAACTGGATTCGTAGTACAGGCCTCAGGTGTCTATTACCTCACAAAACACGGTTTTGGACAAGAAAGGAAATGCTAATTATGACCGTTTCACACAATTATCTAATACTATAAAATAATGAAGTGATGCCATTTTGGACAGACATGGGTGTAAACTGCAACTTGTCAAAGACATACAACAGTGATGTGGTTTTTATTGCAATTACAAAATGTTGCGTTTGTGTTCCAGGAGACGGCGCAGAGGACGCGCTTACTTTCTTCACTGCAGGAAGACCGAGAGCAGCTCCAGGCCTCGCATGCTGTCCAACTGGAGAAACTCCGCTTGCAGCTCAACACACAGATTCAGAAGACACAGCTGACACACTCGCGCAAGGTGAGACCAGACAGATACACACATTTGAGGTAGAGCAAAGTGAAGCGTCATCAACACTATATTCTAGAAATGAATTGTGTTCATTCTTCTTTTAGGAGTCAGAACTGGAGGATCTGACAGATAAGATGGAGCTTAGAGCCAAAGAGCTGAAGAGCCAGGAGGCCATGCTGCAGAACAAGGTCTTTACCTCATACTGCAAGTACTATTAATCATTATACACTAACCCAACAACTAATGGTGTTATGGTTTCTGTCTCTTTGTAGGCAGCAGATCTGAAGAGGAGGAGGAGGAAACTTGGGGAGGAAGAAGAGGAAGTGGACAGGCAGATAGAGGTAAGACCTCCAACGTTTTCCTAATAAAAAGAACAATATTAAAACACTCAACCATCTCTCCCCACGTGTGTGTGTGTGTGTGTGTGTGTGTGTGTGTGTGTGTGTGTGTGTGTGTGTGTGTGTGTGTGTGTGTGTGTGTGTGTGTGTGTGTGTGTGTGTGTGTGTGTGTGTCCAGACCTTACCCCGGCTGATGCAGGAGAGAGAGCAGCTGACGGAGGAGCTGGAGAAGATGAGAGAGGAGAGGCATCAAGCCAGAGAACTCCTCCAGAGAGCCAGGGAGGAGAAGAGTGAGGCCAAGCAGGGGGAGGAGAGGCTGAGGGAGGAGGGGGAGAGAGCCAGGGAGGAGAGCCGGAGGAGCAAGGAGGACAAGGGGCGACTGGAGAGCAAGGTGGCGCTGCTGCAGGAGAGATGCGACCGTCTCACTCGCAGGGCCAGGTACAGTTTAAAGGTCACCTATTATGCAAAATCCACTTTCTCACATATTTTACACATAGACATGTGTCCCCTCTGTGCAAAGAGATTCTGGAAGTTTCAGGAAAAAAGATTGGCTCACTTTTTGTCCTGATCCATTTATATAAAAACCTTTCTGAAAATGAGCTGATCAGATTTTGGCCACTTTATGATGTCATAACGATTTTTTGGCTTGTGTAACAATTAGCCATCAGGAACCAAGGTAACCCCCCCCCACACCTTATCACCTTATCTCCTCCTAGAGCACCACTGTGTTATTTTTAACCAAATATCTCTCAGAGTGGCGTGGGGAGGGGGTTCATTTGCATTTAGAGCTACAGACACAGACTCAGCACTTTTGAAACAGGTCTGAAACAGAGGGGATTATGGGATGCTGCAATGATCTGTTTGGTATTTCGAGGCCAAACATTTCAGAGACATGTTCTTTATATATCTGAGACCTATAATATACTGATGAAAAACAGTATAATAGGGGACCTTTAAATCAGATGCAGGAAACCCCAACGTCCTGCGTGTTTCCACCTATGGGGTTATTTATCTGAGGAGAATGCAATGATTTAGATTCTTTTTGTCCAATCAGTGAGCTGGAGGCAGGCGAAGGAGTGAGTGCCTACCCGAGAGCAGAGGCTAAACGGGACAAGAAGAAGGCAGAGAGATCTGAGGTCACAGCGCCCCCCAGTGACAGGAGAGACTCCCCGCTGCATGTAGTAGACCTGGACGACCCCCCCCTCTCCCCTGTCCCCGACAGCACCAGCAGCGTGGACGAGTAAGGACACGTTGAATACAAAGATAATACACATTTTTGGCTTTTTTTGTATTCAAGGGGTACATATGTTGTCATGGTTGCTGATGGACCATAATATTGATATTTTTAAATATGTGTGATTTTAGTGCCACAGTAACAAATAGTGCTTCACCTATTAAATAATTATGCTATGACAACTCCTACTTATACCAATAACATATAATAAAGAGGGCTTTCAAACTTCTCAAAGACACATTACGCAACTGTTGAATTACACAAAATAGAGAAGTAATAAAACTGTTTAAATGGAAGAAGAGAACATCGAGCAATATGTTAAAATATTTGTGTGTGTTTTGAGTCACTTCGTGATTGGCGCATTCACAGATGTGTTGGGTATTGACAGTATATTGGCATATTTCATCATTTTATTGTTTTAGGTGTGTTTACATTTTATAGTGTTACATTTATTGAGGGCAAAAATCACAATACTCTTAAGAAATTCAGATGTCATTGCTCTTTGAATATACTTGCATAATTAGGCTATCAAGATTAATTTTACAGTGGCGTAAGATGGTCTTAAAATGACATTAATGCTGACACAACAATTATTTATGGGACAAAATATCATCCAGCAAAATAAGTTATCCTGACTATTCACTGTTGACCAGAACATCCTAGTTAAAAAGGAAGTCCATGGGTACAAGCAGTGGTGGACTGGCCATCGGGACGTTCGGGACGAATCCCGATGGGCCGGTACTGAAGTGGGCTGGTCGGACGATGTGGGCCGGTCGGATAAGTCACTAGAACCCCCCCCGTTGACAATTTACAAGCGGAATTTACTAGCGGTACCGAAGTGGGCCGGTCGAGAGTCCCGGGCTTATTTTTAGTCCCAGTCCGCCCCTGGGTACAAGTGTGTATTAAACCTCATCTTTCATCCCTTTGTGTCCAGTGTTCGACGCTACATCTCCTCACATGGCGAATCCATCCAAAAAACCAAACAGTTCCTGGATAGGGAGAGCAGCCGGCTGATGGAGAGACAGGCAGCTCTGCGAGCGGCCCACAACGGCTCCTCCCAGGACCCCAACCAGGGAAGAGGGGTGACTGAGGAGATGATAAGAAACCTACAGCAGGTACTGAATAATACTTGGTGTAATGAGGGGGGAGAGGAAGTTGATTTAGAATAAGTGCTAAGTGCAGCTCCCTCTTCTCTGTCCTGTCAGGAGAGCAGGAATGTTCTGGAGCTGCAGCGGACGGTTCAGAGGGGGAACTCTCTGCTGCGGAGGAAAGAGGAGCAGCTCCAGCAGCTGGAGGGCTCTCTGGCTGAAGAGGTGTGAGACAACACTCAGATAAAGAGATGTTTCAGTTTAGAGCTTGTATGTTTTCACTGCAGTGGACTCCAAGAGGTGAACCTGTACACCCGTTTAGTCGCAGCTGAGGTTAACAATTACAGCTTTTAAGGAATCTATAAACATTAATAAAATATAGAAGTAGAATACTTTTGTGTTATCTTGAATTTATTCCGCTGCTAGTTAAAGTAGCTTTTGCACATCGGAGTTAGCTTGAAATAAATTATACAGAGATGTCTGCAATACCTTTTGTACCAAAGCTTAATGCAGTTAAACCTAATTTCTTCACAGAATAGGCATTTTGATAGACTTTGTGTACTTTTGTGCTTTTTTAAGAATAAATCCAAGGAATATAATACTTATTATTAACTGCACTTTGTCGTGTTGCCTTCTCTGTTTAGCCGCTGTTTGAGGATCTGTCTCGGCTGGCAGGAGAGAGGAAGGTGACCTTTGATGTGACTGACTCTGACCTCAGCAGCACGTTGGACCCCCCGGACAGACCAGGTAACACACCGTGACAGGACCCCCTTCTGTGATGCCTGATGTCACTTCCATTTTCTGATTCCTTCTAGCTAAATGTCACAATTAAGTTGATAGGAGGGTCTCAGGCTTCTTCCCGATCAGCAGAATCAGTCACGCTACAAAGTTTTCCCAAATGTTCCCCAGACATTATTCTCTGTAATGACTGATATATCAGAATATCATTTCACGTACACTGTTTCTCTCTGTCTCTCTCTCCCTGACTCTCTTATCAGAAGGTCATCCTAATGCCCCGGACAAAGTGCAGGAGTTAGCAGAATCCCTGCAGCAGATCTCAGGCCAGCTCAACAGCGTGCTGGGTGCACTGGGTTCACTCGCAGAGAGGCAGATCGCCCCCCCCTATACACACTTCTCTCTGTCTCAATCTCACTCATCCCCAGCTCCCCCCTCCACCTCTGCCCCCGTGTTCCCCCAGATGCACCCCCTTGGCCACAGCTCCTCGGTCCCCCCTCCATCGACGCCCTGGAGCTGGGCCCCCCAGGGCTCCTCCACAGCCCCGTCTTTCTTCAGCACCCCCGTCAGCAGTGGGCTGAGGGCCTCTGATGACCTCATCAACAGCCGGTGGAGCCAGATATTCCCCGGTACGCCAGCAGACGCCTCATTCTGCTCCATGCTACATGAAGCTTTACTTGCTTTTTCTAAGACACGTTTCATAAATCTTGGGTCGTTTGATCTTCATTATCACTTTCTTGAAAGGTAGAAGTGTTTTCTTGAACATCATTTAACACATTTTCATTGGTTTTACACCTTTTTTTCAAAACAGTTTTCACTGATCTCATATAAAGACCGACAACTCATAAGATCAACTTTGAAAGAAAGAACGAAACATATTAACTGTTGATAGAAAGCACCCATGAGAAAGTGCTTTGCATAATGTTTGCAGAGTTTGCACACGTGCTATATGATCAAAGAGGTCAAATGCACGTCAGGATAGTAAAAGGAAAGAAAAGACCAGCCCATAACAATAACATGAATTCAAAGTGGTTGTTTTTGTATGTCTAGTAAAATCCTCCACTGTTAATGCATACAACTAATGTGCCTGTTTTGGCACATGCTATTTGTATTGACAAATGACACAGGCATATAGCACAAACTAGGGACTAACCTGTTCAAATTGATAGCTTTATTTTGATATCCTTTGTGAATGATCTGAGTGACTGAAACAATATATCCATTTGAACACATGGTGTGTTGTTTGATGGAAATGTTCATTTGGTTGCATGTTTGAAATGTTGTGTGATGATTATTGAACAAAGCTACTTTCAGTTCAGTCTTGTGTGTAAACCGCTTTGATATCTTCTGAGTGGACAAATGTGTTGAAGCAAAGGTTTATCAGACTTATTGTATGTGTAAGTTGTGGTTGTTCCTGAATAGTTGTTTCTGTTCTCCAGGAGCAGCTATGGATCCACTCGCCTCCAGCACCATGGGAGCAGCCTCTGCGTACTCATCATACACTCCTGCTAGGTGACCTGCTACACTGTGCCTTTCAATCAGGCTATAGGTTATATACACATCCTCACTGTCTTTAATGTACCTACAACAATCCTAACACTGTGTGTCTGTGTGTGAAGCGACCATGGTCGGAGCCTGCGGTCTGTGCAGAAGTCTGTGGAGGTGGACGGCCAGCGGCTGCAGGGCCTGATCGACGGAAACAAGAGGTGGCTGGAGATGCGCAAGAAAGACACCAGCATGTATCCTTTTATCACACACACTCACACACACATACATCATATCAGTATTGGTATTTAATTAAAGAGCGCACAACCCAGTGTCACATGACAACCTGATCTCAATACGACACACAGTATAGTCTGACATGCTGTGTGTTTATACCACTTCAATTTATAAATCCCTTACAATGGAGTTTGGAACTTACAAAAGGCAGTAACATCCTGGTATTTAGTGAAAAAAAAGCAAATCATGTTTTGATAAAATATATTATATTTGTTTAACTCTCTCTTTTTACATATTCTTTACTTTCTTTGCTATTTTCCTACCCTTTTAGTTTATTTGTTATGTATCTTTTTGCTATTAGCACAAATCGAAACTAATCATCCATCCACCATAAGCAAACACACCATCTGGTTTAAAGGTCACCATTGGTACGTGTGCGTTGAGCAATTTAGAGGACTGTTGCTAAGTGTCTCTAAAATCTCCATGTCTTTGAACCAAATGTTCTTTTCATATCAATGTTTATTGTTGTATTTTGGACTTGTTTAATAACCTTTTACGACTTCACATTATTGACATACACACCCTTGTCGAACGTTGTCTTTAACTGATTCTTCCAGACCTCTGTTCACTCGCTATCGGGCTCCTTCCACAAAGAGCAGCCTGGTGCAGCTGGGCCTTGACGATAACAACCAGATCAGAGTGTATCATTACTGAGGACATGACACACAGGTCAGTGCTGTTGCACTGTGACTGTCCTGAGGACTTTGGAGCGTTAGTAACTGACAGCTCAGCTTTGTGACGTTTACACGCGGGGTGAGTGCGGCGGGCAATTCAGGGAGAAATATGTCACAGAGGACTGAGGACCTTTATCCTCCACATGATATATGGCTTAAAGCACTTCCAACGCCACGTTTACAGATTACAGCTCCATGCCAGACCTGGGCCAAACTGTTTTTAAATGGTTACGTTTACTTTAATGTCTAGACCATGACAAGGAATCATTTACTGAACTATTTATACTTGTTTTACTGAGACCATCCCAAACACCATCCAGTTTATCTCCATGTTGTGAACCCCCACTACAAAGTAGAGCTTTTAGCTGCACACAGGTCAATATTCATTTCATGTCAGGTTACATTTGTATTTATGACACTCCTTTGAAAGTGACTTCTAAGTTCTAAGTGTATGTTTTAACTAATTATTTTAGATATGGTTGTTTTAGTATGTCAGAAGCCAATCCACTTTTATTTTACATGTGTTGCTTTCTGTATGAATGTAAGATAGAAACATATCCTTTGTGCGTATTTATGTGTTGATAATACTGTATTTTTGTATAAAATATTTTAATAAATCTACTTTTATATATATTTTTGTTTGTGTTCTTTCCGTTATAATCAAATCCTGACAACCTCTGTTGTCTGCTAGTTTCTCTTACTTCCTGTTATAGTGATTAACTGTTAATATTGATATCAGTTTTGCAACAAAAATATTCTAGTATAAAATGTCTGCTAAAATTGTACATTTTTGGTCTTCTCAAACATTACAACATATTTGTTATATGTATTTTAAATTGTATTTTTTATATTAGGCAGTGCTACATTTTGTCTTCAGTTTGTTTGTAGAAAAACGATGACACCTCATCAAACAGTGACTTAAGTTAATATCTAGATTAGATTAGATTACTTTATTGTCAATACAAAATGCAAGCAGTGTAACGAAATTAAGGAGGGTCTAACCAGAGTGCAAAACGGTCAGTTATATACACAATTATCAGTAGTTTGTACAAAATAAATGATACAAAAATAAAGGTAAATAGATGGGAAATGTATAAATAAGAATAAATACACATGTTAATATCTATTTTGCACTTCTAACGTTACTTTATTTGTTAGCAGCACGACACTGTGTTAGGCTATAGCCTGTATTACAGTGTATTCCAGTTTTACACAGTAGTAGTAAATGTTCTGAAACAGTCATTACAATTTGGTGAATAGCAAAGCTGGCACTTTCATTACTCGATATTCTTGCCATAAACAAATAACATAGTAATGACAACATTGCTGAATAAAATGGTTATAATACCACTTCAATGGCAGTGATCACTTTAGGAGTTCCTACCATTTTATCAGGTTTGTAGATGACAGAACATCTGGTTCAGGAGTCGCTAACTGAACGTTCAGGAAGGAGCCAGAAAACGATCCTGAAAATGAGACTTTTATTCAATAACCGCTCATTGCAACATTAGACATTTAATCTGTTTATCATACAGTGCAGAGTAAAAAATAACATCGCATCCAGACTTGAGGGCAGTCAAGAAGGAAATACAATCATCATCATCATTATATTGATATTCTCCAATGAGAAGGACAGGTAGCTGGAGGATCTGACCAATCAGAGCACAGTATGCGACTTACATGATTAGAACATCAAAAGGCCACTGACAGACTAGACAAAACTCATTTTCTCACACACACACATGCATACGCATACACACACACAGGCATACACACACACACACACACACACACACACACACACACACACACACACACACACACACACACACACACACACACACACACACACAGGCATACACACACACACACATACACACATACACACATACACACAGGCATACACACACACAGGCATACACACACACACAGGCATACACACACACACAGGCATACACACACACAGGCATACACACACACACAGGCATACACACACAGAGGCATACACACACACACAGGCATACACACACACAGGCATACACACACACACACACACACACACAGGCACACACACACACACACACACACACACACACACACACACACACACACACACACACACAGGCATACACACACACACACAGGCATACACACACAGGCATACACACACACATACACACACACATACACACACAGGCATACACACAGGCATACACACACACACACACACACAGGCATACACACACACACACACACACAGGCATACACACAGGCATACACACACACACACACACACAGGCATACACACACACACAGGCATACACACACAGGCATACACACACACATACACACACAGGCATACACACACACACACACACAGGCATACACACATACACACAGCATAAAAACAGTGATTTCAAAATACATTGCTGACTTGTGAGTCAAATGTAATGCAGTATAAAATAAGTTAATTCTGATAGTTTCTTTGAGCGAGTGTTTACATTTTCATCAACAGCAGGAAGTAAACACTGATCACAACAGTTATATTGATGATGGCAGCGAGAGGACAAAACACTTCAGCATCACTTGACGTCGACCCAGTCTTTTTAATGGCACATACAAGTGTCCATACAAACGGAGGGAGGGTGGAGCTACTGCCCCCTCTCTGACCGGCTGATTGGCTGAGGCCTGCAGGCAGAGAGATGCCCGCCGTGCAGCCTCGGAAAAACCGGCTACTGGCTGTGCTTTTTTTGAAGAACATGAAGGAGCTGAGAACGGAGCGAGACGAGGGGCGATAAGGCAGAGAGGAAGAGCTGAGCTCAGAAGATCTGACACGTCTAGAAGGCGAGGATCTTGTCTCTCTGGACGGTGTCGAGGTCGTCGTCCATGGTCAGAAGGACCTAGCAGGGAAAAAAAGATGTGAGGGGTTAGTATACACAAGGGATTGGGCAGCTGTTTTTTTTTTTCTCTCCCTCCTTTTCCAAATTATGGGATTTAAAAAGGCGAAATTCACAAATAGCTGAAACTCTTTATGGCCGTGTTTGTACTGGTAAATCATGGGCGCAACATCTTTTGTGATAGAACCCTGAGAAAGGGAAGATACACATTTCTAATGAGGCAACTTTATTCCATTGTTGGTGAATTGGCCGCATAATTGTACTGTTTGCCAGTTCACATATAGCAACAATATATTCAAGTTTATTCAAGTGCACATACATTAATATAAATAATATGTTATTTACATATGCTTTTAATGAGTGTCCAGAACAAAGAGAGATATCTATGTGACACACACATACACACAAAATGAACATGATCGTACCAGGAAGGATCCGAACATGGCGATGGAGGAGAGGAAGTGCCAAATGTCGTGGTCATCAAAGAATGAAAGCAGGATGCAGTCCCGGTTGTGTTCGCGAGACTCCGCTGGAGTTTTCTGCGTCGGGAGAGGAAAACACACCAATAAACCACAACCAATAAAAAAACACTCGCGGACCACCTAACTCCACCTAACTCCACAAATATCAAAAAACACATCGTTTTTCTAGAACAGATTACAAATCGCCTGAAAATGGTACAAACAAGTGGCAACATGTGTGACGAAGGTGTTGCGCTGGGCTATATCATGCAATTGAAACTTAACCTCGCTCCATTGCGGAGATATTCCCGCGAGAGTGCAAAATCCACTTTTTCATGTCTTTTCTACAGAAACATGTCCCCCCCCTCTGTGTAAAGAGATTCTGAAAGTTTCATGAAAAAAGATTCACTCTCTTTTTGTCCTGATCCATTTCTATAAAAACCTGTCTGAAAATGAGCTGATCAGATTTCGGCCACTTTGTGATGTCATAACGATTTTTTTCGCTTGTGTAACCATTAGCCAATCAGCAACCAAGGTAACCCCCCCCCACCTGAATCTCCTCCTAGAGCACCATTGTGTTCTTTTTAACCAAATATCTCTCAGAGTGGCGTGGGGAGGGGGTTCATTTGCATTTAAAGCTACTGTTACGTGCTCCCCTCCTTGTTGTATTTTCTGTCTCCCTGCTGGTGCACCTCGCCTATCCTAATCCCGGAAGACACTGTTCTTTTGATGATCTCTCTGCTGCTTTTGAGCTATAGACCCCATTGCTGCTGATGTTTTGATGTGTAGCCTGGAGGACCTGGTAGTCTAGTTTTCGTGGCTTTATTTTGTTTCCCATAGGGTTTTTGTTTGATTTCCGGTTAGGGGAGGGAAGCTCTTGGTCCTACGGCCCGTAGTGTGGCTGGCTCGGGCCCCCTCCTTCTTTTTGTTTCTTTTGTCCAGTCCTCCAGACCTCGTTCGTTTGCCGGATGGCTTGTGTGAGTAAACAGCTGTACCTCAAATAAATGATTACTATCAAGTACTGTTTTTTTTGTGTGTTTTCTTTTATGTTGCGGGTCTCCCCACGAGCCACTACCACGGAGTAGGGGGCGGGTCGTAACAGCTACAGACACAGAGGCCGTTTCTCAATCGCGAGTAAAACTTCTGCAGAGCAACTATTTCAAGTATACTACGTCATCAAGTGGCGCCGAAGGACTGTTGAAATGCATGTTAAATGGCCAGCATTCTGCGCCACTCTATGACGTAGTATACTTGAAATAGTGGCTCTGCAGCATGTGGACTCGACATTGAGAAACAGCCAGAATCAGCACTTTTGAAACAGGGCCGAAACAGAGGGGATTATGGGATTCTACAATGATCTGTTTGGTGTTTGGAGCCAAACACTTCAGAGACATGTTTTGAATATAACTGAGACCTGTAATATATTGATGAAAAAGAGTATAATAGGGGACCTTTAAGAAATACAGAGCAATGTGTGCTCTCACAGGCTAAAACTTTAGTCAACTAGGTGCAAGGGGCTAATGCTGCATCTGAGTGTGTGTGTGTGTGTGTGTGTGTGTGTGTGTGTGTGTGTGTGTGTGTGTGTGTGTGTGTGTGTGTGTGTGTGTGTGTGTTACTGACCTGCCAGGTGCTGAGACCCTGGAAGAAGAAAAACAGCGCGAAGCCCCACACCACAGCTGTGAACAGAATACACACCAACGCCAGACATCCGATCCTCTCACCGCTCCTCAACTGAAACACATACACAGAAAAACGTCAGAAATACAAAAAAAAATACGTTATTCTAATTAAAAACATGGAAATATGCAATGACACACCTTCATAATGATGTAAAAGGCAAAGTAGAGCAGCAGGTTGCAGATGGCGATGGCCAACAGGTAGGAGGCAAAGTCGTTGGGTCGCTCTAGGAGTCCAAAAGCAGCGCTGCAGAAAGGAAGTGAAACAGATGATTTACGGTAATCCTGTGACCTATACAGTATTTACATTTCAATTGTCTGGTTAGTGTTAAGTTAAAATATCACTTACAGAGACCAGTTGATTATGTTTCCCAGTACGAGCAGAACCATACGGTCCTGTCAGACAGAGGAGAGATGAATTAGAGGTAGACAAATGACTGAATACATGTAGAAGCATTTGAAAGACACAATCTGATCCAAAAATCATCATTCGAGGATCCAACCACATCTTTTGTATAAACTAAATAAACTTTTAAATACTGTGATTAATTGTAAACTCAGAGTAATATGTGTTCAAAGGAATATCTTCATCAACAAAATGACCATTTGTATATCAATTTCTCAGCCTGTTGCTTACAAGTTTTGATAAGTTAAAAGTAAATGGGGTCCTGGTTAAGAACAGCAACAATCTTTATCCACAAATCCATTGAAGGAAGTGAGTAATTTAGTTTGAAGGTTATCTCGTGGGTGAATTATTGCTTTCAAACATGTTGTTGCAGCTGCTTCAGGTCATTACTCACAATGTACATGGGTCCACTGCACTGTCTGATGCAATCTGTGTAGAGGATGTTCAACATCCTGCGCATGATCCCAGAGTCTGCCGCAACAATATACAGACAAGTGTGAACTGCAGTCAAACACTAGTCCAGAGTGTCAGGCTCGAATCCAAAGCACCTTCACAGTTAATCAGTCAAAATAACACTTTTCAATGATTTATGATTATTCCTATGCATACATAAAAAAAATTAAAAAGCTAATATTGTTTTGTCTGTACAGTTAAATCGTGCTGCTACACATTTGATCAGGAACAGATAAAAGCATTCATTGTAATTACAATACAACATTCATATGTTCTTTTTGGCTAAAAAGAGCTGGTTTAGCTCATTTGTTTTGTCTATAGTTTCAGTTGTTCCTTACCCAGCCTCCATCGGCCCATGTAGTAGAGCTGTGTGCTGAGGAGCATGGTGGCCAGGATGTGGATCACAGAGAAAACAATCCAGAAGACCGTGTTTCCTTTCCCAAATACCTGAAAACAGAGCATCAAACACATACAAAATGTTACTTGTCTACTACATGGTGTGTGTGTGTGTGTGTGTGTGTGTGTGTGTGTGTGTGTGTGTTCAGGTTCTTTATTTGTACACATAGGTCGATTTTGTTTGCAGAGAAAAAGACAAGGGATCCATCCTGACACTAAGAACATACACAAACAACAGACACATCTCTAATAAAAGGTCTCTGTGTGTGTGTGTGTGTGTGTGTGTGTGTGTGTGTGTGTGTGTGTGTGTGTGTGTGTGTGTGTTCAGGTTGCCTGCTCTCCTCCGGTCTTACGGCAGTTCAGTGCGCAGCTGGTCTCTGATCTACAGACTGAGAGTCTACGAGCTGCTGGCTCTGCTGCCTCCTCACACCTACCAAGGTTACCACTCACCTCCTTTCCTACCTCCTGCCTCTCTTCTACCTTTCTTTCCCACTTTCCTTTGTGTTTGCTGTGCTGCTTTTAAATGTCTTTCTTGCCCCGTGTCTTTAGGTCCACTAGTTTAAGACATTTCTGGGCCAGAGAGGGCCTTTATTAGAGATAGAGGGGATGACATTGCTTTAAATGTTCCACTGGCTCCGAACCCACTGCATATGGCCCGCTGCCTTTTAACATTTAAACATTTGAAAGAATCGTAAAATGGTTAAGTCATGGTATAATAATGTTCTGAGTTGAGCAGCACCTGGACCGCCTACATTTCACTTGATGATCAAACTACTTAAAATTGCTCTTGTAGATTTATCGAAATGTGTTTTAAAATATGCAAAACATTTTGATCAAAACCTGGTTATTGTTACTTCCTTCTCTCCTTGATTTCTTTGTGTCTTATTGTGTATATCTGTCTTGTACATTTTTATATTTAAAGCCTTCCTAATTCCCTTTAAACTCTTTAGTTGTTGGCTATTTTGTTTTTGTTGTGAGAAAAAGTCATAATTCTGAAAAAATTCTTTTTTTTCAAAAAATACTGAAAATGTATAAATTAAAAAAGAAAGTCAGAATTATGAAAGAAAATCGAAATTAGGAAAAAAGTCAACATTTTATTGGTGGCTATTTATTTGTTGTGAGACACTGAACTGAAAGCCCTTCTCTCGTCCTCCTGCAGAGAGTTTTGGTTTGGTGATGAACCAGCTGGTCTCAGATCTGTCAGGTCAGAACAATCTGAACCAGCCGTGTTCAGAGCTCACGCTGCTGCCCCCCCTCTGTCACCGTGACGACCTGCCTCTCGTTGGCCCCGCCCTCCAGAACACCGACCACAGATACATCGAGGAACAGGTGAGGGATGCTAACAGGATGCTAACTGCGCAGCGCAGGGCTGTATATTTAAGCAATAGCTCACGACAGGCCGTGGTATATGGCCATTATATCACAGTCAAGGGGCGTGGTTCGGCCCGACGCAAAGCGAAGCCAAACTGTATACAGTTAAATCGACCGGACTTCTTTCTGCAGATGTGAGCGTCCTTAACAACGGTCAATAAGTCCTCGCTACACATTATCCCTTACATGTTTAAAACTTAAGCTTTGTTAGTTAGTTAGTTTCGTAACGGATGTAATGTAACAGTTGTAACGGTTGTAGCTTTTCTCAGACGCGGAGGGATACTGACTTGTTGTGAAAAGTAACTACAATTCTACCCGTGATATACGCTCATTATATCACGGCTAAGAACCAATCAGATTGCTTGATTTGACTTGTCCGTTTTATAAGTATACTTATTTATAATATGGGCAGAGGAGATTTGTCACATTTTTCATGGGCGCACCCCACATACTCGGCTCTGCTGCTCATCCCACAAATGCATGGTCCTCACCAATGCGGCACCATTTGAAAGGTAAGAAAACAGGCTTTCAATGGTTTACAATTTATTGCCAAGAAGAATTTTTACAACAAAGAAATAATCTACCAAACACAAATTCCCTTACTTTTTTGTGTTAAGTTTTTAAATAGTTATCACCACAATAAACCGTATATCATTTTGTCTTAATGTACATGATTTAATTTCATATGCTGTTCTTGTACATATCATATTCTATTGACATGTATATAGACTTTTTGCACTACTTTGTATTTTGTATTTTTGTATTTGACTATATATGTTGCATTGTTGGAGGAGCTCAGGTCAGAAGAATTTCATTGCCATTTCACTGTAGCTTCGTGCACATGAAAATACAACCTTTGAATCTGTGTGTTTTGTTTCCAGCTCCACGGCAGCAGTGTGGGAGGAGGCTCTCTGGACAACGACGCCTTCAGCCTGTGTGAGAAAAGTGATGCGACTCCAGCTCCTCTTCCTCCTCCCGTCGCTCTGACCGCTGCAGCTGCTCGACTCTTCGGAGTGCTTTACCCCCACGTCATCTCCGCTCAGAGGTAAATCACATCCTCTCAGCTACTCGAGATAAAAACTACAAGTCAACTTGAACAGAAGGAGCGCCCTTCAACTTTAAAGGTCACCTATCATGCTATTTGTAGGCAATAGCATAGGTCTCAGATACAAATATATAAAAAACATGTCTATGAAGTGTTTTGCTCCAAACACCAAACAGATCCCCCATTCCAGCCATGCCTCATATCCCTCTATTTCACTTCCTGTTTCTAAAGTGATGATTTGGGGTATAAAGCTTTTAAAAAATAAAAAAGGAGGGGGCTGAGCTCATGCGGGACCCGGCAGCTACTGTCTAAACTAAACCTGCCGTTAAGAAACGCCATATCATGGATTATCAAGGATTATCTCTAGAA